CCTTCCTGACAAACCTGTGTTGTGTAGTCATGCATATCCGACCAAGAAAAAAAGTATCTGGTTTTAATAAATCCTGGAAAGTACCTAAAGAGAGTCAAGGTTGGGATACGTGGGTCAAACTGGTGGCCTGAAGGGGTTTCCTTTAAGCCACTGACTTCTTAGCAATTTTCTTTTTTTATGAACATAGAGTTGTGATTGCATCACAAGCACTACTCATGGGGATTTATTTTTTTTAACTTGGTCTGCTCCAATAATTTTTCTGCAACTTTCCTGTTTTACTTCATCTTCACTTGCAAGCAATCGTCATTTCATTGCATCTTTCCCGTAGAAACTGCAAGTTGTATGTGAGTGCCATATAAAGAATAAGCAGCGAGACGCAGTATTACATTGTGTTATATGTACACAGTAGCACTTTACAGACAGACTTTTTTTCATTTTCTCACAAAAAAAAAAAAAAGAGAAGCATATGCGAGGTAAAACAGATGGGGACAGATTTCTTAAAAGCCGATCTGTGAATAGGAGATGCCTTAAAAAATCCGACCAAGTTCACAATTCACATAGACAAAAGAACACCCCAGCTCAGCAGCCAGCTAAACCTGGGAACACCACAAATCCATAGGTGCCTAAATCTTCCATATTGGAGTAAAAAGTGTGTGTCTGCTTCTTGGAATGCTCGCAGGCATTGGAGCTTGGACTGCCCTGGTTTGCTTACTGCCCATCCTAGCGTCTGCCCTCTCCTTGGAACGGATTCTCTTGCACACCTTCAGCGATAGACTGCTACCTGCTCTTACACAAGAGCTGACATGAAATGCAGATAGAGTCATCTTACCTTCACAAATTAAAACAAGACTGGTTAAGCCCACTGTAATTCTCAATGAGTGGTCAGTCAGTGGGTTAATGTGGTTTATTTTAACTCCATCATTAATTTGCATACAAATTTTAGCAGCTGTCAAGATTTTAGAAGCAGGAGATTCCGAGTTGGCACACCTCACTGATTAATGTGAATAATCACACTCGGCTGAAGTGTCTGGCCCCTTCTGCAAAGGATCTGTTCATACCAAGACAGCTAGGAATTGTTTCCATCTTCCTCTGTTCACTTTCCTTGTTCATGGTCCATATTGAAACAGTGTGGATTCACTGTGTTGTAAAACCTAGTTTAGTGCTTCCAAGGTAACAGGAAATGCTAGCGGAAAGAGTTAAAGAATAACTATGAAAAAGGTGACAAAGAATGGGGTAGTAGAGAAGAACGGCTCTGGAATAGTTGGCTTCTGCTATAGTCATGTTAGTATTAAAATGTATTCAAGGTTGTATACCAATTCGTAAGTAATTTGGGGACGTGACAGTTTCTTGGCATCATACTGCAAGTAACAAACTTCAAATTTGTAGAAACTTGAAATTATTTTACTGCATACCGCATGTTCTAAAGCATGACTTACATCAAATTGAATTTGGAGCATTTGATATACTCGAAATATTGAAACTGTTGGTGATAAGGTTTTGTTTGCTTGTCTTTTAAGTAGCCAGAATAAACAAACGGTGCTTTAACAACACAGAATAGGCAGCCCAGAGTCAGGTTGTGAAAAATACTGTGTTATAAGACCAAATCGCTGGAATGAGCAGTAGTAATGCAAGACAGAGAAAAAATCATACAGGAGAAAGCTGCTATTTAAATAGCTGTACAAGCAAGTTTGAGTTATTACTGCATTTCACAAAGTTAGTCATCAGGTGTGCTGATTATTTTTAAGTCATTTAATGAGTGAAAACACTCTAACTTGGTCCTGGAACCAGCACAGCTTTAGTAAAATGGTGCTCTGCCCTGAGCTAACATGGCTGTACTTTTCCCTCCGTTTCATACTAACTTCGTAGCTCTCAGGAATCAAGATGGTTGCCACTTTTTTTTTTTTTTTTCTTGATGTAGTCATACTTGCATTTTTTGTCTGTCTAGAAAGTGGCTCTTCTTAACGTTGTGGTTTAACCCTGGCCAGCAACTGAGCCCCCCCCAGCTGCTTACTCACTCGTCCCCGGTGGGATGGGGGAGAGAATCGGAAGGGTAAAAGTGAGAAAGCTCATGGGCTGAGATAAAGACAGGTTAAAAGGGAGAGCAAGAGCCACGCACGTGCAAGCAAAGCAAAGCAAGGGATTCATTCACCACCCCCAGGATAGCCGGGCTCCATCACACCTAATGGTGCCTCGGGCAGACAAATGCCATCACTCCCAGTGTTCCCCCCTTCCTTCTTCTTCCCCCAGTTTCTATACTGGGCATGACGCCATATGGTCTGGAATAGCCCTTGGGCCAGTTGGGGTCGGCCGTCCTGGCTGTGCCCCCTCCCAGCTCTTTGTGCCCCTGACAGAGCAAGGGAAGCTGAAAAGGCCTTGACTTAGTGTGAACACTACTTGGCAACATATAAACCATCAGTGAGTTACCAACATTATTCTCATCCGAAATCCAAACCACAGCACTTCACCAGCTACTGGGAAGAAAATTAACTCTGTCCCAGCTGAAACCAGGACACTTAAGTATAGGCTTTTAAAGATGCTTTAAAACTGATAATACGAAATATGAATAGAGGCTGAGTTGGTTTGTTGTTTTTTTTTTTAATTGCCCGCAACCATAGATGTGATTGCAGAAGTCTCACAAGCTCCCTGCCCAAAATGCAATTCTTACAGGGAACGTAACTGTTGGTGTAGGGGTTTTTCTGTCCAAGGCAATGCGAAGCTGAGCAAGTGATCTAATGTTTTATTGGGGGAAAAGAAGTAATATCTTCTGAAGAGGTGTGCAAAGGATCTATCCGTCCATTACATAACGGATACAGCTTAGAATGTTTTTGCTGGAAGAATATTTCTTTTCTTTGTAGAATATTTTCCCTGTTTTGTTAGATCAGCAAGATCTCTGCGAGGGAAAGTCCGATTTCAGAGTGGCCACATGTAGCCCGTTAAATTTTCAGTATGTAGGCGATGGAGATGTGGACAGAAATTCCACATCTATGAGCGTTATTAAATAATTGTATAAAGTTACTAGTTCAGTTCTGTTGATCTTAGAAAAAAATAAAAGTTCTGAGACTGTGGTCTGTTTACGTCCTGTATTATTCCATTTGTGGCTGATCCTTCTCTTTTTTGATATAACTGGAATTTTTCCTGAGCATGAAATTACCGCTAGAAGATCTGGAAAAGTTTGCCATGCGGTATTTTTCTTAAAGGTGAATAGTTCAAAAACGTGGACAATTACTTTTTAAACAAGAAGGCTTTTTAGCATCTTTTTGACAGTTTTTATTAGAAAGACTATTGCAAAACCCAGTAAAGAACAGTGCCCGGCAGGATCAGTGTGACTCAGCCTCCTGCTTACACAGCCTCACTATTACGTAGCAAGTTTCCATTGTTGTAAAATTAGGACTGTCCCTAAACAAGAATTTAAGGAAGCTTGCTCCATGGCATTACAAACCCCGAGGTCACGCTGCTCAACAAGCGTGCCTGATCTCATATTGAATTGAGGCTGCTTGGCTGCTAAAGGCGTCTAAAAGCTGCCATAAAATTGCAGTAATTGCTAACCCGAAATAGAAAGAAAACTGTGCAGAGTTAGAGCAAGCCAAAGCCTCCAAAGCCTGTGTTTCAGCGTCAATGCAATGGAAGGCGAAGAACCTTCTGGCAGCTTGAGGAAGGTGTTATTAACCAGAAGCCCTGTTTTTAGAAACCTCGTTTGGAATGTTGGAATAATCATCAGCATTGTTTTCCCGGTTATCCCATACAAACCTGTGGCTCTCCTGTATTCAACAAAGGCACTTGACTGCATAACAATATAAAGTTAGAATACCATGAAGTATTTAGTGCTAATACTGTACTAATCCTAAAGTAAGTATTTGTATCTTTTCAGGACCCTGATATGAGACTCTGGGCCTGACATGCAAAACGTGTTGAGCTCTGGGTCTTGCAGTCCCAGCTGATATTAAGTAGCTGCAATTACAAATTGCAAACCAAAACTAAAGCAACCCAGGCTGTACTTCTGGCTTATACTTTGCAGCTTCTGATTCCAAGTATTCATCTGGGAAACTGGAAGTTCACCTTGCTGACTGCAAAACACTAGTTTTCTGGGGGAATTTTAGAAGAAAACAGTAACCAGTCTTGTACCGCTGTTAACTTTGTTACAAGAGCATTAAATTCTGTGTTTATAACAGATTTGACTCTTAACTTGGAGATTTGAAGGCCCTGTTGGTTCAGGCAATATTTGCCTTTTACAGATTTTGTGGGGCTTTTGTTTTGGCTTTTGTTTACATTTTCTTAAAACAGTCTCTTTAGGGGTACATATGTGCACTGAAGGCATTTAAGAAGCTGAGTAAAGTACCTAGGAACATACCAAAAGAGAAGGAATGAATCCGTAAAACTTGGCTCAAAATCCAAATGATTTTTTCCTCCTGCATTCATAGGGCAGAGTGACAGGAATGACCATAACAAAGTTCTAAATACAAATGCAAAATAGGCATCATTTTCACTAGTGGTTTTCCCCTGTGGATTACAGATGATCGGCAGGTCAGAAACCCCGCCTGTCTTCTCTGGACCGACTGGTTCATCTGGGAAAACTCTGGTCAAGTCAGACAAGAAAAAAAAAAATTACTTTTGGGCTTTCCTTTCTTTTTTTTTTTTTTTTTGTCAGACTTCCAGCACATTAATTTGACTCCTTCAGCAGTCACCAGTTTTTGATAAACACTCTGTGAACAAATGGCTGCATAAATTTGGTCACAAGTAGCAACTCAATGCTGTAACAGAAGCAGAAATCCTTGCTATAACAAGTTACTGCATTTAGCAAAGATACTTCATTATTTTCAAATGTTTCCATTTTCCATGCTGTTTCCTTCCTGTTGAATCACCAGGTGGGTCTTGGGTGTCATTCATGACAGCCAGCGTCTAGGGATATTTGCCTCAGTGCCACTTCTATTTTTTAATAAATGCAATGAATAACTCCTTTCTGTATTTGAAAGGGACTCAGTTCTCTTGGGTGTGCCGTTGAAATGACGAGTAAAGCAAAGCAGCGGCAAAGTCCGCACCGGCACAGTAAGACTGTGCATGTATCCATGCAGTCCTGGCGTGAAGGTGTGGTCTTGCAAAAAGGTGCCCACTTTGGGTGTAGCACCTTCGGCTTATCCTTGGAAACTGCAGTGCTCGGGGCGGGCACACTGACCCGGCTGCTGTGCGGAGCTGTGGAGCGGTGCTGTCAGTGGGGACAGCATCATGCAACTGTGAAGAGGAGCTCTGCCACAGGGGGTTCTTCCAGCCACAGATGGAGCAAGAGGGGGAGGCTTTTCACTCCTCTCCTCTTTATTACTCTGCATAGACCAGGACGGCGGGTTGTTCTGCTGGGAGGTCGATGGTTTGTGGGCCACAGGAAATGTCAGGGCAGGCTGTTACTGAGAGGGGAAGGAGGATACAGCAGTTCCAGCTACACCTGGCTCTCACGCACGCGCGTGTGAGCACATGTGCTGGTTTTTCCTCAGACTTACTTGGTGACACACTAACTGACGGCATCAGCTTGTCAGTACTAGGTAATCTGAATACTGAAAGTTTGTAACGAGGTGTTTTGATTACATCAAGACTGAAGCAGGTTGCATGGAATACCTACTGTTCTGCCAAGTGGCACCTGCAGACAGAGCCTGACTTTACAGGCATCTTAGGAAATCTCCACAAGTTTCACCTGCCCTCCCTGCAGCCCCACAGGTTCTATCTCCATACGGCATAGCAAGTGCTGTTGGGTGCTGCGGGCTGCACGTGTTGCTGCATGCTTGGAATCTCCCTGAAACCATAAAGACACATAACAAAGGTCCCATATAATTTCTGTTGTACGCGACTGTCATTACCCTGAGGTTAAGGCAACAGCTCTTCTTTCATTGCCTGTCTATATATTGCTGTGTAACACGTATTCTGATCTTAAAAATTGCCGCCACAGTTCTGACTGCATTTGTTTCAATACTTCTGGTGGTTGCCTTCAACTTGCTTCCAGGCGGCAAGGCTAATTTGCATTTTTTTTTTTTGGTTTTATGGTTTTCCAGCATGAGTCAGGAGGTTCCATTTCTCAATCAGGAGATGGGAAATTGTTTCTGGGGCTTTCATGATTACAGATCCTTTTTCCTGGCAGAAGGCAAGATCACAGGCTGAGAAAAAACTCTCTACAGCAGAACCAACATTTCAGTTCTCCAGATGCCTAGTTCCGATTCTGAACTAGTCTGCTTTCAGGACTGGTAGCTAAAAGCCTCTGAACAGAGTAAAATGCCATTTTTTAGAGTGTAAGTATAGTAAATAGCTGAGTTGTCATTCCAGGGATAAGAAGTTTTGCCGTAGTTTGCCTTAGCAGCACCCTACTTTGAAAAGCCTTCTCCGTTTATTGGAGTTCAGAAGTGGCTCAAAACCTTTGCTCCCACCGCTGTTCAAACAACCATAGCTTGCTATTCCCACCTGCAACTTGACCATACAGAAAATCAGCCAACAGCGAGGTCTTAGACATTTCCCCAGGAAGAAGAAAAGATCGTATTCTGTTGTTCATGTAGAAACTGTCTCACACCATGTAGTCACAGATGTAACCGAAAGGAAGATGTAGCCCAGACTATTCACTCTTTTGTATGGTTAAAAAAAAAAAAGTCAAACATGATCACATTCCTACGTCGAGTGAAAACAAAGAAACCGGTCATCATGTTTTCACTGCAGCCCCCTTTCCCTTCCCTTTTCCCTTCCCTTTTCCCTTCCCTTTTCCCTTTTCCCTTTTCCCTTTTCCCTTTTCCCTTTTCCCTTTTCCCTTTTCCCTTTTCCCTTTTCCCTTTTCCCTTTTCCCTTTTCCCTTTTCCCTTTTCCCTTTTCCCTTTTCCCTTTTCCCTTTTCCCTTTTCCCTGGGTTCCAAACTGAGTCACAGCTGCCCATGTTAAACACCGTGGCCTTGTAGACCCAACAGATACTCCAAAGGTAGGGTTTCTGGCAGGCAGGAGTTAATTAGCTACTAGACATAGGAAAAAACATCCTCTGTTATGACTTGCGACAAAACACATCATGTTGCTTCTACAGTTCACTGAGAAGAGTTTGTTTTAAATTCATGCCCAGAAATTGAATTCTGCTGTTGCACAGGTAGTTCCCCATCCCCTTATGCTGCTATCATTAGGTAGCCAAGAGCTAAATGTGTGTGTGTTTGGCTTTCTACTGCACAATAAACAGTGAAAAATGTCAGTCTGGATTTTTCTATGGAGTACTGCCAGCATATATTCCATGCTGCTTTCCATAAGGAAATGAATATCCACACCTGGTGGACGGTATGATAGAATTACAGTGCTTTTTCTGAATGCTATGGTGGTTTAATGGGGCAGGGGGATGGGAAGAGGACACTCTCCTTGGGGAGAGAAAAGGCAACAAATGTGGGACAGATTCCTCAGCCAAACTGCTTTTTAAGGTTGTGGGACAGAGACAAAACCAAATTAGTGTCGAGCTAGTCCTGACTGAAGTCTGTACCCATCTCAGAGCCATTTTCTTCCCGGGAGCTTGGTCGCAGTGAAGGAGCGTCTGCATGAGGCTACAATGGCATGGCTTCCTTCCCTTTGCAGAAAAACCCTCTGCAACCTCCATGACATTTTTCACTCAGTAAAATATTTAGGCTGTGGTTGATTATAACATGTCTAGTGAAAATAGGTCAAGTTTGGTATTTGAGTGCCCAGGAAAAACTGTCAATGTGTTTGCCGTATGCATCAATATCTGTCCTATTTAAAAGGACATTTTTATGTCTGGACAGTGGCAAACCTGGCCTGGGAGCTGGAAATTTGATAGTTGTTAGTGCTGCTGAAGGGAGTAATTAGAGGGCATTTTCTGCATTTGAACTAACCTTCAAAGTATGTTCTGGCAAGCAGGAACACATCCGTGCAGTAAAAAGGTCCCTGAGAAGCAGGTTTAAAGAAGTCGGCTAGAATAAGCTTACTCTTAATATATTTGTGTATTATTTTAAAAAATGAAATCTAGAAGCAAAAGCAGTGAGAATGAAGTTGCTAGCCTGTACAGAGACTGCAGAAAAGAGGGCTGTCTGCTCTTTCTTCATCATGGAGTCAGGCACCTAAATCTAACCTAGTTACCCTAAGCTGCAGCTAATCTGTAGAGAAACAGGCACTGCTGGGAGACTTCAAGTCTCCAATTCCCAGCTGGGTGACATGTATTGTCATCAGGAAACCCTCATTTCACTCATCCCGCCGGGTTAAGCAGCCTTGGTTTTGCCCTGCGGTTGGTTTTTATTTTCCTGTTTGCTTGCAGCGGAATTAAAAAAAAAAACCAAAAACAACCCACCTGATGATGGAAGAATGGGAAAAAACATTTCCCTTGTAACTGGGCAGTGCTTGGCAAGCACAGATTACACAATATTTAAGCAGAAAAACAATTCGCTGTGTATGGATGGACCTGGACAGTGGCATGGCGAAGTAAGAAGCAGCGGGAAAAGAGGTCAAGCAAAGCTCATCTGGTGGCCAACTTCCACATAAACCCTCAAAATAAGACTCATGAGTAATTACAGAACTGTACAGATGTGTGATAACAGAGGGCGAATTTAATAAATATTTGTGTTTTTAACTATGCCTTTAGGAGTACGTTAGTTACAACAACCTGTTGTTTGCTTGATTCTTTTACAGTCGTTTTTTCCCTCCCAACTTCTCTCAGTGCAAACTTTTCAGCTTTTTCAGTCTTCTCTTTTCTCAGGGTAGAAACATACTGACTGCTTAGACATCCTACGAACTGGAAAGAGTTTTTTTAGTGCTCTCATGTCAGATGGAGGACAGTGGTAACAGTGAAAAACATGCACTGATAGTCTTGGTACTGCTACTGCTTTGTCAGTATACTTACAGGAATCAGTCAATGGGCCAAGTGATCTCTCGCTCACTACACCACTTAAAAGAGATGTGAATAATCTTAAAGTCATAGAATCATAGAATCATTTAGGTTGGAAAAGACCTTTAAGATCACATTCTTCCTCTTTCCCCATTTTAGCGCAGAACATCACAGTGGTTTCAAAGAAATGGTCCTATGAACATCAACCACTATGCAAATAAGAAGAGCGCTGCAGAGAGCATGCTGGACATTGCCCTACTGATGGCCAACGCATCCCAGCTGAAAGCCGTCATGGAGCAAGGACCTTCTTTTTCCTTCTACATCCCACTTATCATTCTTATCAGCCTGTCGCTCACGTTGCAAGTTATGGTGGGAGTGCTCCTGATATTCCTTGGTATGTAGCAACAGCAAGAACCACTGACGTGTATTTTTCTTATAGGATGCGACCTGTAAGATGGTATATAGACTCCCTGTTTTTAAAAAGCTGTTACATTTGAAAGTCTTTACCTCAGAATTTATTAAAGTTTTCTCTTAAGACCATAGAAATATTGTAACAAAAGGAGTCAGGGCAGCTTTATGCAGAATCTTCAATTTTGATCAACTTCCTCATACGCATTTGCCCAGAGTGTGGATATTTTTCTTTTCAGAAGGCCTGAGGAGGAAGGAAAATGATGAAATACTGTAAAAGAAGCATTAATAGGCCAGATAGGATCATGCAGCCTGCCCAGTTTCATAATACTGTTTCTGGCAAGACCTGTTACTTGATCTTATGACTGAAATGTATTTGTTCCACATCAGTCATATCATAAGTAATATAAGAATATATTGTGAAGGTAGAACTCCAAAACAGAAGTGAAAGTTGAAATGCCCATCCTCATGTTGCTGTGGCACATCATCTTCTGTTTGTGTTTCTGCAATCAGATCAAAGGTTTGATAGCAAAGGCTTGACAATAATGAAAAAAGACCCCGTAGTTTTAAATTTAGGGAATTATTCAAAGCACCCTAGATCTCTAGGTGAGAAATGGTAGAAATGTAGTTGTTAATTTTCAAATCCATGATAAACTGAAATTAAAGTTAAAAAGAAAAATAGGTTACTTGGAGCAAGATTTCACCGAAAGAACATACTTCATCTATTATCCACATACTATGACTTCAGCTAAGAAATTTGAAAGGAGTTATAATGTGAAAACACAGTCCGAGTAGCATCCTGGGACTGCAAATAGATGGTTTTGAATCCTGCTCGTCGCTAAGGAAACCTTTCCTACTTTCTACTGAAGAAATGTGATGCAGTACCTTTACCATGTGCTAGAAATCATTTCATGAGAATGAGTTCAAATGGGGTTGTGTCAGTACGTGCTTTGGACGCATTTAATGAGGCAGGTGTAGGATTAGTTCCCTGTTCCCTGCCTCCTCCCCCCCCCCCTTCTGTCTTACTTGTTGAATTACAGACCTTCACGTTCCTAAAAGTTCGATGCAGCATTTTTGCTATTCTCAAAAACAGAGGCTCCACTCTTCAGTATGAATAGGTACAATGCCATGAGGCACAAGAACCAGTGGCTATCACTAAAAAGTAGGTATTTTAAGTTAGTATGGCTAGATTAGTAGCACACATACACCCTACACCCTCTGCCTTATTCTGTAAGGCAAAATATTGATCTAAGGAGTTCTAGAACCAGGCTCATTTCTAAAACAATGTCAACCCTAAGTGAGCATGAATTACCCCAAAAGGCCCAACTTGGGCTCCACAGAGAGTGGAGAGCCAGCACTCTTCTGGAAATCTGAGGTTTCTGTTCTGACCTCAAACAAGTCTCTTTGCTGTCTACTGTGGTATTTCCCCCCATGTTTTTGTAAGGCAAAATGCAAAAAGAATCCAGTGATACTTTGTGAAGTTGCTGAAAACCTGTGAAATTCGTTAGCAGCACCCAAAACCCTAGGCCATAACTTTGGAAAGTCGGTCAAAGGTACCTGTGGAAATCAGAGGAAACGTTTAGGTTTCAGCATCAGTTGAACCCCATTATTCCCTGAAAAAAAAGATACCTTCACTGGTAGGAAACAGCTGCAGGTCACTTCTTCTGCTAGTGATACATGATCATTTATTCACATAATTTGTTTCAAATCTTTCCCTTTAAATTAATGGGTACTGTATGACGGATCTTAAGTCTACTGCAAATGAAGAGCCTTGAAGGTGATAGCCAGAGTTCACACGTGGCATGTGCTGTTACAGGTGCCACCTGTGGCATCTCTGTTAGTCTCTCAATGTTTCTTTTTTTTAGCAGAACTGAAAAAACAATTTTCTGTTCAAGGAGGAAGTTCCTAGGGAACCAGGATGCTAAGGCTCGTAACACTGATGTGCAGCTGACATAGCATTTTTTCTTTCTTACGAAAGAGACGGAGTATAGCTGTCTGTGCCCTTGGGAGAGGTGGTACCAGAGCAAAATCCAGGTCCTGGCTCACAGGAGATTCCAGAAAGGGACTGGGAAAAGCAAGCTTATGATACTGGGGGATGTGGGAAAAGAGTAATGGAAAAATCAGCAGAACGCTTACGTGTTTCTTGGTTGAAGGGGATTCCCTGGTGCTTATTCAGTTAAGCAGGCTTTGAGGCTGTAAACAAGTTCCCTGTTTTTTGTTGGGCAATAATTTTTCAGTATATGCTGAGACGTTGCTTTTTAGTGCTTATTTCTGCCAGGCATTGCCAAAGTGGCTTCCATCTCTGTAATTTTTATCTTTGTCACATTGAGAGTAAAGAGAGTAGCCAGCAGCCCCGATGCCGCAGCTGGGCTGAGGTGGAGCTCGCAGACCACTGAGCGAATAGTGAGATGCAGCGGGAGTTCAGCCCGCGCTCTGCAGTCAGCCGGGGCCGTAGGTTTGGCGTGCCAAGGGTGACAGAGCCCTTGGCTTGTGGCAGTGTGCTGTTGGAGGGACGCTGTCATCCTGAGGTCAAAAGGACTGAAGATAGGAAGTAGCTATGTGGGTACCATAGGTGTGGAGGTACAAAGGGACAGGCATCACAGCACGAACTTGCTTTCCACAGTGTGCACTTGGTAGTTTTCGCTTGCCTTTCTGTCCAGCCACAGAATTCTGCCACTTATGAACTCTCGCAAGTCCAGACAAAAGCCTGTGCAACTATCCAGTTTCTTTCCTTGAGACAGAGTTTTATCCCAGGAGCTACCAGTTCTCTGAGGGATTAAAAGCTTTTTCTCCCTCAAAAGAGCCTTTCACCAAAACATTCTAAAAAGTGTTCAGCAAACTCGTCCTTGAAAGTAGTTTGGTAATCTTAACTTTTTGGAAGACAAGCAAGGAATGTCTTGAAATAGTTTAAGGGGCATGAAATCATAGTAATCTAATCCCACTATAATAAAATACTTAAAGAATAACTGTTCTTAAGGACATTTTCACCAACACCCTCATCTTAAGTACTATAATCACAAAGATAGGATTACTGCAATTCTACTTCAAAATTTAGAGCACCGCCTAAGCTGACAAGCAATACGTGTCTTCTCTGACCCTGTTTTGACAAAGGGATGGCTCCAAAGTGTCAGTTCTCCTTTGAGCATCATTTCTTAACTCACGAAACATGTTAGGCCATTATTGCCTGTTCTGTTTTAAACCAACTATCTGAAATGCTTTTCATCCATACTTCAGGATTAATTATTCCATTTCATTTATCCTGCTGCGTTCATATGACAGTACTAGAGTCCTTCCAGGTACTGTTGGGATGCAAGTGTCCATGTAGCTCCAAAGGCTTTACAGACGTGTATAAACTCATTTTCAGGGTTAAGTACTGCTGAGCTTAAATTATTTCATGCCTACACAGGTGCATGGTAGCTTAAGCTTCTCAGTTCCCCCACAGTGTTCTTCAGCGCTTCGACTAGCCTGTGATGTTTGACTATTCTGCTTTAGCAAACAGGACTTGAACAGGCGCCCAGAATTCCTTGAAACCAAAACAGCATTAGACTGCTAACGAGGGACACTGAGTGAACCTGGCCTTTAATACTTCAGCATCACGAGTGTGTTTGCCCCCACTTCTACTTAACTGCTTCAACAAGCAAGCGAGTCTCGGTTCTGTGGTTAAGTTCTGCAGTGTTGACAGGGTCATTATGTTAAAAGCAAGTAACAAAGTTTATTTCATGCAGTAGAGGCGTAAGCTACATATCTATGTATGTGCCTCTCAGGAGGAGCTCAAAGTTCTACTTATGTTGCTGTGAAAACTTGTCAGGTATAAACTTGCTCTCATATATCCTTTACCTGCACACACAAGCTCCTGTGATCTACGCATTTAAGAACTAGGAGTCTTAATAGACAAAAACCATTCTCAAAACACACTGCAGAATTCATCGGCACTCATTCCACCAGCATCAAAGAAATTTAGCAGAGGGTCTGCATTGCAGAGCCCTTCCTGCAGGAGCACAGAGGCATGGGAAAATCTTGGTTTTCAGCACGATGCCAGGCAAGTGCCCCCAGACTTCTTACTGTCCTATACAGGCACATGCTTTACTCTATCATCAAGTCTATTATCAGTGCAATGTAACTAATTTATATGTTTTCATGAGGCCTGGAATCTTAAGCTTAAACTAAATTAATACTCTCTCCCTTGTGCGTTCCTTCCTCACTCCCATTAGTCGTTCAACCAAAGCGCAACTGCAAGAAGCAAAAGGAAATGTTTACACAGCTGGTGCGCTCTCTATGCTGCTTTGAAATCTTCCTCTGTGTAACAGATGAAGTGGCCTGGTTTTCTAAACCCAGAGTCAGTGCAAAAGCAGGGAGTATAGCTGGGGAGGGGTACCAGTACAGAAAAGCCCCAGCACTGGCAAAGAGATTGGGCTGTCTGCAGAGAACCTGCGGTGTTTTTAACTGTAGGAAATTTAACTTCATCCCGTCCTGTCAGGGCTTCAAGCCTCATGTATTCAAGACTGAAATAATTTTTAAATGCTTGAAGTCTGCAACAGAACTAGGTTTCAAAAGACCAGGAACTCAGAAGATTTCTGGTAATGTTTGTATATCCATTACTTCCCATGTGCACCCACAGAGATTAGATGCTAATTACTGGAAGCTAATAGGCTCCTTGCGGTTAAAGATCTCCTCCTTAGCACTTTTACTGACACTGCAGAATCTTACTTCCCTTTCAAGCATGACTGATGCAAATAGCTCAGTGTAAGAGAAATTCTTGAACTACATGAGTAGCGAAGACTTTTATTCTGGATTTTGAAATGTACATATAATTAAAACTTTTTTTTCCTTTCTCTTTGAAGTAAAATATGACCTTAACAACCCTGCAAAGCACGGAAAGCTGGATTTCCTCAACAACCTTGCAACTGGACTAGTATTCATTATCGTAGTTGTGAATATTTTTATCACTGCCTTTGGAGTGCAGAAGCCAGTTGCTGAGTTAGCATCAAGACAGTAAGTACAAGGTGAGTTTGATCTCTCTGCGCTGTAAGGTAGTAGGGCATAGCACGCACGCACACAGTGCACGCTAAGCCACAGCGTTAAAAATAGCCACGGGCTATTTCTGTGCAGTTCTAGCCTTCGCAGGTGAATGAGTTTACTTCAGACTATTGCAAAAGCAGAAGCTGCTAGAAACTGCTAATTATTACAGTGGTTTTGTAAATGTAGGGTTTGAAAGTTCATGGCAGCATCTTTCTTGTCAGGGCCCCCTTGCATGTCACAGGAAGTGTAAAGATTGTCCCCTGGCTTGGTCACTCCTTTTCCTCATTGCTGACTAAGCTAAGAAGGGAAATAATATTGTTTTGCTTCCTCCAAATGCCTCTTTTTTTCAGAAAGATTTGCAGTACACTGCATCTAGTCTGTTATGAACACTGAAGACTTAATCTTCTAATCCAAGTAACCGGCGCTTTTAAGTCCAACATATGATACTACACATCCCTGGAGCCCTTCAGTCCGTATGCAGACAGTGCAGCTTTTCTGTCTTCCCAAGCTGCAGGGCATTTACTTTGTGGGAGACTCAGCCTGCAGAGATGGGCACTATCACTTTACTTGGTACACACAGTCATTTAAAACAGTATTGTTTGCTCTACCTGCATTATAAAGTTCATTATTTACTTATGCAGAAGGATAAATTTAGGGATTGTGGGAATCAAAATGGGTATCTTCCGAGCATCATAGCTATGATGAACAATTTGGGAGGAGATAAACCTAAATTGTAGGCTTGTAGCCCAAGAAGCACTGTAGTCCAACATCTGCCTTTAAAATAGCACTGCTAAGTCCGTGTGTGCCAGCATTGCTCTGGCTCTTTATCTTCCAAATCTGGAACCACGTTCAGAAGACCTGCTGAAGAAGGAATGGCTTGACTTGCCTGGCAAGCCATGGTGCACTGGCTGCTACGCAACCAGCCCGTATCTGCGACGTTATCAGTTTCAGTTAACTTCTGGGTGAAACCCTTTCTCCATGAAAAAGAAGATACAGGGTCTTTAAACCCCTCATCTGAAGATGAATGGCACAACAGAAATCTGTAACGAGAATGGAAACCACGCCAGAGTCTATCAGGACTCCAAATGGCATGGGGGGGGAACCCAGTGCAACAACTTACTAGGAAGATGAGGAATGAAATTCATTTATTTTGGAGTGTGGGCGGAATCATCTGCTTTAGCCAAAACCTGTGAAATTCTGTCAGTGAACCAAGATAGTTTTATTGTATTTGCTGACCACAGTCTCTACAAATAAACTATAATTATTTAATTTTAGCAGCAAAGAGCACGTAGATTATCTGAGATCTTACCAGAATTATAGGTAGAATGTCCTTCTCAGCAGTATGTATTAAAACAGTACTGAAACACTGACCACAAAATTGCACTGGCAAAGCCCAGAGAACTCAGTGAAGGGTTACTGGAATTTTAGCTGTCTTCCCAGGAACAAGCACACACAGTAGCCAGGAACAGCTGAGAGGAGAAAGAAGAGAGAGAAGAATCTGGAATAGGCATCAAGAAATTCAACTAATGGACAAGGTGGCGTATCAGAATCCCAGCTGCGCCTCTTTCTGATGCAGTGAAACTAAAACTGAAGAGGGGTGAGAGGAGAAGCAGTTTTTGTGCCCATTTTCAAAAAGGGTAGAAAGGAAGACCCCGGGAACTATCGACCTGTCAGCCTCACCTCTGTGCCTGGGAAGATCATGGAACAGATCCTCCTAGAAGCTATGCTAAGGCACATGGTGGCCAGGGAGATAATTCGAGATAGCCAGCATGGCTTCACCAAGGGCAAGTCCTGCCTGAC